GGGGGGGGACGGGGGGGGAGGGGGAAGGTGGTGGTGTACCTGGACTGCAGAGCTGTCTAACCCCTGTCCTTGGAGGGAAGGCTGGTGACTCAAAGCTTCTTGCCACAACCCTCCTGAGCTTAGCCTGTCCTTCCTTCTGGGTCCCCTCCCCAGGAGAGAGCCTTCCTTTCTTCTGGGAATCAGACAAGTGCCTGGCTGGGGCATTTAACAGTAGTGAGCCCAGAACCTCTGCACGGGAGGCACCTCCTATGTGGAAGTTAGGCTTAAAGGCAGCTTTACCCTTCAAAATGGCTCAGAAACGTGCCCAGGAGAAACCAGCCTCCCACCCATGGAGCAACCCCGCACAATTTCCTCCAGTGTCGCAACAGATCCTCTTCCTTGGTTGAGTAGCAGATGAAATAGTTGACTCGCATTTAGGGCCATGATGTATGAAAAATAACATGTCTTTAAACACTGTAGAGCCACAGCGAGATGAGATGCTCACGCTGTGAAAGGCGTGTGGGAGCTGAGACCAGCTGAGGGGAAAAACAGATTCGTGTCTCCTTTGTGTGCTCAGTCCTATTGAAATGGTTGTTTGTTTCCCTTGCTTTTCTCCAGTGCCTGGTGTTTTATTCACGTGCCTACAAGGTGGGCCCACTGCATGGCCCTTTGAAGGCTGCAAAATGCTTTCATGCCCATTGATGCATTAGACCTTCAGTGGAATACTGAGAAACAGAGCAGGAATCATTATTCCCATTTAGCTGATGAGAACACCAAGACTCAATGTCCTATGGTGCATATTGAAAATAAGCAGCAAACCCTGATTCTCCAGGGACTTCTACTTGTTGACCTCTCTGACTCCCAGTGAAGCTCCGGAGAATGCTCTTTATCCTTTATGAAGAGCACACCATAAATCTAAAGCAAAACCTTAATTCTGGCTTGTCACTGCAGCAGGAGTAATTTGGTTAAACTTAAATGTGGGTTTGTGCTTGAAATAAACTGTAGGCAGCAATTGAAAAACCGTTCTTCCTCTGTTATTTTGTGAATATAAACTGACATGCAGAGGTGGCCTTTGAAATGCAAGAATGGGGGTGGGCTGGAAAACAGAGTGGATGGCCAGGGGAGTTTCTCTGCAGTCTGAAATCTCCAGAAGCCTTAGGGAGTAGGGTCAGGGCTCTGGCAAGCTGATGAGCCACAGGGATTGCAACCCAGGGGCTGGAAATGAGTTATGACAGCTGCACAGACCCAGCCATGTGCCTGTGACTCTGTGGGCATGCAGGACTCTGACACGCCGTGGGCTGCTGAGGGCTTTATATAGTCTTCCAAAACCTGAAGACTCACAAAGCATTAGAGATGACCTAACCCACATATTCCAAAGCACACTCTGAGCAACCCTAGATCCCCTAGATGATAATGGGTGTTACAAAGGGAAGAGTTTCACCATTTTCTAAATTTTAGAAATTCCAGGTTGAACTGTATTAAGCAAGTGTCTTTAATCGTCATCAGAGTCTGTAAAAAAACAAATGTGACTCAGCTCCAAGGGATCCTACTGGATCTCACGTGGCCGATAGCATGGTTTGAATCTGGGACTCAGTGGCTTGAGAAACATGCCAGGCATGCATGTATGTATGCCCCAAATCCAGACAGGATGGAGAAATGGAGGAGAAGAGATTGTGGTGTGGCCAGTCCCATGGGGAGGTGGGTACTTTCTCCCTCTCCTTTGCTGTCTCTGGCAAGTGCACAGTCTTTCTGGCAAAATTGAAATTTAAAAAAATGTGAATTATGAATCTCAAAGAAGGGATCAGAGGAGAAGTAAATCCACCTTGCTCACAGCGAATCTTCCAGAAAGAACATTCTGAGAAACAAACTTTAGGGAACCCTAATCTAATCCAATCTGCTTTTCACTAAGGAGAAAGGTGGAAGCTCAGAGATGTATAGTGATCTACCTAGCATGGCACAGCTCCTTAGTGTCAAGCCAAGACTGGAGCCAGACTGGGGTTCTTTCTAGTGTGCCCCATGATCCAGAGGATGTTGGAAAGTCTCATGTGTGTCAAAGTCCAGCAAACTGGGGTCTAGGCAAGAAAACGTCCTGGCTTTAGCTACTGCTGCTTTGTAAGGGAGTGTTTTTTGTATTTCCATGACTCCATGTGCCCCAGCCTGCAGGCAGAAAGCACATTGTTATTGAAGGCGATCCATGACAACCTCTCTCCTGAGGCCCACTGGCCCTTCCAAGTCACATTCCCAAGAAATGGAAAGCCCTGGAAGCAAACAGTATAAAGCAGTAATAGGTAGACAGATTCCTCTGAGGTCAGAAAGAGCCAGGCAAACTCTAGAAGGCTCAAGTCCTGCTCACTAGGCCCCAGCGTTATCCCACATCCTTGCTCAGAAGCCCCAAGTGAGAGCACTGCTGAAAGTAGGGTGGTTTTTCTCCTAAGAGGAAGCGAGAGCCATTTTCTGAGGGTTGGAGATTGCAGAGGTGCTGCTCAAAGACTCTATTCCTGCCCTCGCCTCCTCTCATTTGTCCATGCCTGGTTACGCGACGCTAAGGCTATTCCTACATTATACATCTATTGGATTGGATTCCTTTGGATTACATTCCTTTGGATGAC